AACAAGATCGGACTTCAAATGCCTGCCAGTCTGGCGGGCATTTGGGAGACCAAGTTGCAATCCTCTATGTCGAGTGGGGCACAGCTGGAAAACAACATCAAATCTCTCGACCCTGCTGATCGTGACAATGCACGATATCACATGAAGGCGATCGAGAACGACCCAGAGCGTAACCCGACCAAACGCCGAAGATCTGGGTGAGGATGAATCATCGTGGAGAACTACTGAGAGAGGCATGAGAGCTGGGATAATTCGACTCTTATAGCTTCTGAGTAGATTTCCAACTATTTTAATTCCTTCTGAACTGAGGTAGGCAACCTCGGTAGTGCCGATCCCAAGTATTTAAAGCTGCGCGTGAACTGTCTGAGACGATCGTCCGGGACAGGAATTGCAACGCTGCGGCTGGGGAACCTCTACGGTGCACCATGTATGACGATCGTGAACATGGGAATAAAGGGGAACCAAAGACGCATGTCGATCGTAGCTTGACCACTTTTGAATGGGAGAAGTACCAATCCTTTCTTTTCCGTTAATTCAATGGTCTACGAAGTTCTCACCCGGCGTATGCTCCTTCGCTCGACTACATACTTCATCGAGCGTGGGGGTGTTAATAACACGTCGGTGGGACATGACCTATGTTGTCCAGTCCAGCGGGTAGCACAGTTTCCCCTTGCCCTGTCCGGCTCAAGTACGGGCCTTAACTGGCTCAAGTGCGGGCCTTAACTGGCTGAAGCGCGGAGTCTGAATCGGCTCTAGTGACCGTTACGCTGACTAGCTGCTGGAGTGCAAAGGTGTGATCGCTGCGTGCTTGGTGGTTGAACAACGTTCTGAACATCGGCTAGGGTGACTTGTTCTAAACGCAGAGGTACCAGGTCATACCCATTCACAATATATATCACCCACCCCTAAAAATGTATTTTAGGGGCGGAGGGAGGTTAGGAAAAAAAATACATTTATCGTCTTCCAAAAATTGATTCCCCAGGACCCCCCCCTAAATACATTATCTGACCTGGGGGTGTCTGAAAAATATAGGATCCATGGGTCGGATATCCACCCCCCCGAGGATCTTTTATTTTCGGGGGGTCGGGGGGTGGTTTCATACATTTTACGGGTTTGGTCTTTCCGGGATCTTCGGGAATGTCCCAATTTTTTGCGGAATACCCTTCTTTGAGGGGGTTGGGTAGACGAAAAGCGCATCATTTTTGGAAAATTGATTCTTTACATCTTGCTAAGGTAGTCGTTGGTACCCCCTGCAAAGCATACATTTCAGCATATTTCAGATCCAACATATTTCAGCCATTATATGGTTCGAGGGTTCAACAGGGTTCCGGAGAAGGTTCCTAAGAAGGTTCCGGGAGGCTTTGGTGCAGAGCCAGGTCAGGTTCAACAGGATTTGCGGAGGAGGTTCCAGAGAAGCCAGGTCAGGTTCAAAAGGATTTGCGGCCATTTATATAACTCACAGAAACCCAGCTGAGCTGTTTCCAGTGCTTGGCTTCGCAGCACGCTTCAGAAAGATTTGTAAAAATAAAACGCTGCGGCTGTTGGGGATACCCACCGAAACTTATTTTTAGGTGACCCCAGGTATTCCCAGGTGATCTTCTGGTTTTCACAGTTTTCAGTAGGCTTCTCAGGAAAAAAGAGATCAACTGGATTGAGGTGCAGAACCCCCATGCGTGCATAAATTGATATAGAAAAGTTTATGTATCCATTGGCTCTTGTCTGTTGTACCCCCCACAGCATATATTTTCAAACTCAATACCCCTACAAAGAATACATTTCCCGCATCTGACACTCATACATGCTTCATTTTGAGGGGTTACCCCCCTATTTCCCATACGTTTCTGGTAAAAAGTGAGGGGTTAACCCCACCATGATTTCCATACATTTGAAAAAATGTAGGATCCACCCCCCCCACTCCTGAACCAGTTGGGGTCGGGGATCAATATACATATATATATATACACATATATGTACTGCAGATATTTAGATTCAGATAATTTCAGATTAAGATGTACTCTGTCTCCAAGGTTTGGTTCCACAGGTGCGAGCAAGTAGGCACTCAAGTTTCATGTTTGTTTGTGTGAGTTTAGATGTGTTGATATCAAAAGCATTTCCTGAGTTGATTGTAGGCCATGTATGATTTAGTCTTTCACGCCTTAAATGCAACTTGTATATTATATGAAACCGTGATTGCTGTTTCGCACAAATCAGCCGTGTGCTTGGCATTGTAGAAAATGACAGTTTGAAGTCTTGCTAGTCCCTGTTGTCCCACCACCAGCGCCGCCAGATCATTTCAAACCGTCTCTACTGGGTGGCACTGCATACCGCTCCTAGAGCCAGTCCCAAGGCAGGATTAGTTGCAGTTTCCCAAGCGCCAGGAGCATGAGACAAACATGACACAAACATGAGATGAACGCGCAAGCCAAGTCCAAGACAAAGGCATTTGTTGCGTGCCCTGCTTCCAGCTTCCACTTTCAAGCTGCCACGCAGCGTCAAGTTTTTGATCCTGCAACGTTCAAAAGTTAGCCTGCTGAACTGGATGTCTCAGTGAGTGCGATTGCTACGAGTATGTTGCCTGCGTTGTTGCGCTAAATGACGCTATGACGGAGGTGCATTTCTTCAGCGTCGATCATGAGTTCATCTACGAGCCCTTCTTCGCTGATTTTGGCTCCTTGGACAGTCCATGCACACAAAGAGCACTCTTGCATGGCCAGACCGTGCACATTTGGTACTGGTAGGTAGACGTATGTAGATACGTGAATACCTACATACCCACCTACATACCTACCTGCCTGCATGCATACATGCATACATGCAAATATGCATACATGCATACAAGCATACATGCATACATTACATGCAGAATTGCAGACATGCAGACATGAAGACACGCAGACATGCAGACATGCAGACATTCAGAGATGCAGACACGCAGACACGCAGACATGCAGAGATGCAGACAGGCAGACATGTGGACATGCAGACACACAGACATGCAGAGATGCAGACATGCGGCCATCGATCATGCAGATCATGCAGTTCATGCAGATCATGCAGACATGCAGACATACACTTACACATACGTTCTGCGATATACATTGTCAGCGATTGCAAGTAGTATAATTACACAGATACTGCTGCTGGGAACAGTTCGCATGGACACTAGCATATGATTGTTCCCAGAACACACAAATAGATGATTACATACAAATACGATCACATACGATCATTTACTGTAGTAGCAGAGATGATCATGTAACCATATGGTAAACATGTGCCAGTCATAGAGGTATGACATGTATACATTGGCTTGATTCAAAACATATGAGTTCATATATGGTGCCTCACCAGCTGCGGGGTGCGCAGCGCGAGCGCGCGAGCATTTAACACGAGCGCGCGCGAGCTGCGCGAGCAAAGACAGGCGCGCGCATTCGGACACGCGCGCGCGCGTGCAAATAAGCTCACATAAGCTCTCCGAGCGCGCAAATAAGCTCTCCGAGCGCGCGTGTCCGAAGTGCGCGCGCGCGCACGCGCGCGCCTACAAACCAGCGCGCGCGCAGTGCTCGCGCGACTCGCTCGCGCACCTCGCGCGCGCGTCTGTCTTTGCTCGCGCGTCTCGCGTGCGCGCCGGTCTTTGCTCGCGCACCTCGCGCGCGCACGTGTTAAATGCTTGCGCGCATGTGCTCGCGTGATTTCAACTGGAAATGTTTCATATGCTTCAAAAGATGACAATATATACATATAATTACACGTGTGTAGGTTGAGGGTCATCTACATGTAGGATGCTTTATTCGCACATACCTTCTACATTAGCAGCCGCCAAAACCTCCATGTGGAGATTTAAAGGGCTGTTAAAGTAAGATGGCTCCGCGAAAGATAAAACCACGTCCGCGAAAGATTCGCGAAAGCTTTTGCGAAGATTTGCTTCCGCGAAAGCTCGCGAAAGAGGCTTTCAAGGCTCAAAATCCATCAAAATCCTGGTTTTAAGTTTTAAGTGTATGTTTATAGACAGTGTCCTCAGATGTATCTGGATCCATACGGATATATTATTCACATTTCTATAGATGCGACCCGAAAAGCCGCGAAAGCTTCGCGAAAGCTCCGCGAAAGCCCTAACTAGCTGGGATGGCCCCTCCCCATTCGATAGAGAGTGGCAGTGCCCACTGTGATCTGGCGCTCGCGGTGTCTGGCTGTACCCACTGAGATCTGGCGGTCGCAGTTGGGGCCCGGCAGTGCCCACTGAAATCTGGCGCTCGCGGTTGAAGCCCGGCAGTGCCCACTGAGATCTGGCTCGCGGTTGAGGGTGGAGTGGAGGACGAGGAGGTGAAGGAGGAGGAGGAGGAAGAGGCGATGGGCGGCATGCAGCTCTGATAAAATTTAGAGACTTTCGCATGGCAGGCGGGGAACAAATGTTTCAGTATGTGTTTGCCAGGGAACATAGGGAATTCTTTCAAGATTTTCCACGAAAGCCCGCGAAAGTGTATTTCAGACACGTGGATGCCGCGAAAGAAAAACGCCACATCGCGAAAGGTTCGCGAAAGAGATGGCGAAAGGGAAGACAGAATAGAACACAAAGCATCGGGTATTCGGCAACCGCTCACATGTATTTTTACATATATGCACATATATACACAGTATTATTGTCATTATTATTGTTGTTATTTTTGTATACTGTATATTATATATACATGTTAACTTGTCTCAGCTTCTTGCAGTTGCGTGGCACCCTTTTTTGGCTGGTTCCACGGGCACTGATTCATAAGTCAGCTGCATCAGCAGCTTTGGCCGGCCAACTGATCAGTTCTGCTGATGGGAGGCGGGTGTGGCAGAAAAACTCACTGGACAGCTTCAACATTGAACATGCTACGTCATGTTAACTTGTCTCAGCTTCTTGCAGTTGCGTGGCGCCCCTTTTTGGCTGGTTCCACGGGCACTGATTCATAAGTCAGCTGCATCAGCAGCTTTGGCCGGCCAACTGATCAGTTCTGCTGATCCATCTTTCACCTGGGCTGACAGCGAGTACGAAGGCGGTCGGCGACTTCTTTGCACGAGGTGTGCGCTGCAGGGCCACGTTGGTGAAGAAACAACGGCAATGCGTCCCTTAGGAACTGCACCTTGGTTCGCACCGATTCTTCCAGTGCAGGCAAGACTGACATCGCTGTCGTTTCTTGGAGATAATAGGACAGTGTACGTTGATGCTGTAGGCGCATCTTCCAAAGCAGGTCCGAAATGTGAATGCCTCTCCTATGACAAGCAACGGCCCCTCCTCCACGAAGAGACCCGGGTGTCAGCCTATGCTGTTTCCCAATGCCAATATGCTTCAGAGCTGCATCCCATCTGCTACGAAAAGCGCCTGCAGAACCAGGGTACAAAAACTCGTCCCGTTTCAACCTGTCCCAAATTGAGCATAAAAATTGCACCACGGCAGGTTCACTGATTGTAGCATACTGGACGGCAGCCCCTCGACGCCGTGTCTTAGGCAGTTTTATTTGCAAATAAATCACTGCTTCATCAGACAACAGATCTTGAGGAGTCAGGACGTCCTTCCGCTGAGCCGTCAGAAATTCTCCAACTCTGCAGATCGCATAAAAGCACCCAAGCAAGACCGCACTCCACCGAGGCCAACCCCAACTTATGCCCAAGACGGTCATGGCATGTAGCAGCGGCTCAGGTAGAGGAGGTCGATGCTGCGTTGGTTCCATAAGCTCCCACTTCGAAACTGTCTCCCAGGCAGTCATCATGAACGGCCTGAGTTGTAGAAAAGAACGCTGCATATGAGCAAGCAGCTGCCGGTAGTAAAGCAGCGGGGTGCCCATGTCATAGCTGTAATGCCCAAAAGCCACCAGAGCTAACACTGCAAGCGAGGGTACAGCCCCTGCCCAGGTGGCAAAGTCCGCGTCCGGGTATTCAGAGGAAAACCAGGACAAAAAGCTTTCAGTCACCCGCTCACGTATGGCTATAGTCGCCGGCTCCAGCAGTTCTATTCCAGCCAAGTCCACCTCGGGTCGCAATCGCGATCGCCGAGGTCCAGGGTTGACTGCTTCCCCAATGCGGCAGCAACCAGCTTTTGCACATGCAGCTACATCCAAACGTCGGCGTGCACCAAGCTTGCCAGCATCAGCCATCAGCGCCAGAGCCAAGTCCACCTCGGGTCGCAATCGCGATCGCCGAGGTCCAGAATTGATTGCTTCCCCAATGCGGCAGCAACCAGCTTTTGCACATGCAGCTACATCCAAACGTCGGCGTGCACCAAGCTTGCCAGCATCAGCCATCAGCGCCAGAGCCAAGTCCACCTCGGGTCGCAATCGCGATCGCCGAGGTCCAGGGTTGATTGCTTCCCCAATGCGGCAGCAACCAGCTTTTGCACATGCAGCTACATCCAAACGTCGGCGTGCACCAAGCTTGCCAGCATCAGCCATCAGCGCCAGAGCCAGGGTCAGACACAGTTTGCGCGGATAGGGCTCCGCCAACTTCGTGAAGGAAACCCCCTAGCCCTGCATCGCCCTCGAAGTTTCACATGAGGCTTCAAGCACTGACAAAACAGTTTCTGCTGCTGTAGCTGCGTGTTCGTTCTAAACCTAGTGCGTTTTCTCCAAGCCGTACCATACCTGCAGTAATCCAGTCTGAAATCCCCTACAGTTTTAAAACTCAGAATCTGCTTCCAAGAGAGTTCTCGGGTCTGCCGCCACATCCAGCTGCCATCAGGATTTTCCACGAAAAAATAGATACCTAACTGCAGGCACAACAGAACCATCTCCAGAACAAATTTCAGCATCAGATTGCCTTGCTCGTTCTTTAGTTTTTGCTTTTCAGAGCAAGTAGGTAAACCTTGGGGATATTCCAAACTTCTGCAAGGAGGGGTGATGGCAACTGAAAAAGATGCGCACACCGGAGCTGCGCCCATGGCTAAAAAGCTGCGGAGTGTGAGCAACCTACTTAGCAACTGCTGCACCTTGGGATCCAGCAGGTCCTCGCTGTCATCATGCTGGATATCAAACGTAAGGACCCACACCTCCGCAACTTCAACGCACGCCTTGGCCACTCCGTGGGAACCTGAAAACAGGTCTAACACGCCTCGACAGCGGTCGAGAGCGTCCTCTAAACTGTCAAAGCTCTTGCTCCAAAGGAACTGGCTCCTAGGCAGCTGCAACAGTAGGGCACGGGCTTCACTGCAAACGCCTGTGCGCTGAACATCCTCCTTGTTCGCGCCATCTAGCGCCGCAGTCGACTGTCGGACCGATATAGGGTGCGCACCTGGGAGGGCCCCCTCAACTATCGCAGTTGAGGTTTCCTCATCCTCGCCAGGGCAGTGGGGTCGATCGTCAGACCGGCCCACCACACCCACAGGGAGACCTGGCTCGACCTGCGTCACGGTCCTGCCCGACTGCTGGGTGTAGCGCTTGCTCATTTTCTGCCCTTCTGTTGAGGAGGCTGCGTCTGTTTCCAGCGTCACAACTGCCTGCCCGACCGATATAGGGTGTGCTCCTGGGAGGGCCCCCCCAGCCACAGCAGCTGAGGTTTCCTCATCCTCACCAGGGCAGCGGGGTCGATCGTCAGCTTCACCCACAGGGAGACCTGGCTCGACCTGCGTCACGGTCAAGGGCGGCTGATGTCTGCAAGTTGAGACTCGCTGGAGCTCTGCTTCGCCGGATGCGCCGGGGCCCGATATAGGGTGTGCACCTGGGAGGGCCCCCCCGACCATCGCAGTCGAGGTTTCCTCATCCTCACCAGGGCGGAGGGGTCGGTCGCGGGACCGGCCCAAACCACCCACAGGGAGACTGTGCTCAACCTGCGTCACGGGCCATGCAGGCTGCATCGGCTGCTTCTTCTTCTTGTTCTGTGCCCAGGTCGAAAACTTTTTCTGGCGGCCATTCAATAGATTGTCAGGCATCTTCCTCCATAGCTCGCTTTCTTCAGGTAGCCCTCGCAACTGCTGCAAATCCAGCCCCCATTTGCTGAGCTCCGCATCGAAGGCGTCACAGTTGCCCTTCTTCAGCTCCTGCATCCATAGGGCTTGTTCCTTCGAGGGGCGCCGGAGAGGTGCGTCTCTCGTAGGGTCATCGGCTGGGTTCAGCTTGCTCCTCACGAACCCGTAGAAGGGTCTCACATTAGAGACAACATGATCCGGTATCGAAGCACGGATCTCTTTGTTCAAGTGTCTGGAAGACGATCGTCCCTTCACCAATGCCGCAAGACTCACCTGAGAATCCTGCAAGTGCAAGTAGTAGCTGTCGGGCTCCCTCTCTCCCAATTCTCTTTCTGCTTCCAAAGCAGCGCGCACTTCGCCAATGTTGATATGCCTCCTTTTCTTGCTCTTGCGGACCTGACCAAACGGTGCAAACACTTCGGCCTGCACTACCTCTTGCCAGAGCGGATGCATCTCATATTTCCCATCCGGCAACTCTCCTGCGTCGCATTCAAAGCCCTTCTCCTTGCAGTACGCCTGGTAAGGGCTCACCAGGCGATTCCAAAGTCCCTTTTGTAAAGCATGGCGTTGAGCTTCGGCGGTGAACTGTGGCCCCACTTCGGCGGACACTGCTGCTTCCGCTGTGGAAGAGGCATCTGATGCTACCAGCCTTGCAGAAGGCTGGAGGCGCATGTCGATCACGGTCAAAGGAAGCAATGCCACTGCCATGCACAGCTCATCCTGCAGTGCAGCTGAAAGACTGATAACAGTCTGCCGACTTCGCCCTTGTTGTGCTGCATAGATCTCTTCCAAACAACTCATGAACCTCCTCCGCAACGAAAAAATTGCCACAAGAGATCCAGCAATCACCTCAAGCAACCCAACAGTGGCATGACCAAGTTGCAGTACCTGTAAGATGATGTTGGCCAAGGGGATCGCCCGTGTCATGTTTGGACGCAATGTCCCTGCTTTGCCATCCAGTTGCACCCCCCAGAAACTGCCACACGTCTCATCAAAAACCGCCTTACCTGCATGCCTGGGCAACCCTACTCGCTCATACTGGGCTCTCACGGCCTCAATCTTCTCAGCGCAGAGACTGCTTTGTGGCCTTTCATGCCGCTTTCTAGCTTCCAGCAACACCAGATCATCAATGACCAGTCCTGCCAGCCAGCGCTGCCGAGGAGGACGACCATGAAGTGTGATGAAGTCATCCAAGTTGAAAACCTCAGACTGCAGCAAAACGCCTAAGTGGGAAGCCTGCCCAAACGCCACTGCGTTCGTGTCTCCCATAGCCATAGTCTTCAAACAGGGCACCAGTTCCGTCTCCTCATACAAACCTTTGTGAAAACACTGCAAGTTCTCGACTTCATGAGGTTGCACACGCAACTTGAAGGCGTTCCGCAGGGTGCGCTCTTCTGATATCACAAACGCGTGATAAAACTCACGCAAGTCCTCTGCAAAAAGATGCACCTCCTCTTCGGGCTCCAAGAAGAAATGCAACAGCTGATGGACTCCTGCGAGAGACTTGATCCATCTCCTCTCACTTCTTTCCAAGCAGTTGGGCGGACGCGCATCCAAAACCATGCGATCCCGTTGTGCGTCTTTCGGGATGGCAAAGGCCCCATTTTCAAAGCCTGAGCGCACCAGTCGCGCAGGTCGTAAGGCTAAACGCCCGCAGGCGTCCAGCGTTCTGAGAAACTTCAACTTGTCCTTGGGATGAAGCCTGACCTGCACCCGGGGGATCGGCCTTAGAGATTCCTCCGGTAAAAGAGCATGCTGGAGGGGATGCTCAAACATGGCTGCATTCGCATCATCCAAGAAAGGTCTTGGATCAAAACTTGGGACTCCCCAAAAACGAAGACGACCAGGTTCAAGAGCTTTTGCTGGGTGTAGAGGTGCTGCAGTAGACTTCCCTACGGCTTCCCCTTCTGCCGGCCGGTGGCCCCAGCTACGCGGCAAAACTTCCTGTCGCCCTCTGTACTTGGAAAGAGGAACTTCCCATTCAGCTCGTTGTTGAAACAGCCTTTCCAATGTCGAAGACATGGAGGGGTCTTCAGGTGATGCGCTGCTTGTCCAACTGCCACTCTGGCGCACTAAGTCTGCCAGCAACATCTCGATGCCCTCCACCTTGACCGCAGCGCGGCCCATGGCATCGCTGTCAATCTCAGGTTGCTCATTCCAGCAATCTACATGGGGCCTCAACCTCTGGACTGCCTCCCACTGCCTTTTGTTGAGGGGAGTGCCCAAGGGAGGAACCACAGCTTTCCAAGGAAGCTGCACGCCATGTAGATGATTGAGCATCAGCACGCAGAAATTCAGCCCCAACTTCCGAGCGGCGTCCTTCTGCAAACGATTTGCACCCCGCCGGTGCAGCTCAGGGAACGGAATCGGCATGGGCCAAAGAACCGTAGGTGGTGCTCTCTCCCGAGCACAAGTTGCCCTTGAATGGAACCAGCACATTTTCAACCGGGTCTTTCCCCGGGCAAGCAAAGAAAACAATGAATTCCACAACCTGTACCCTTGCACACTTGAAGCCCCTGCACCAGGGACCTTTGGGCCGCGGTCAGCGGCCCCCATATCATTGACTGCTATGGCTGGGGCGGGGCCGTCTCTGACGCTCCCTTCTTTTCGCTTTTTCCTCCTCCCTTTCCCGCTTTCTTGTCTTTTGTGCCCTTCTCCGGCTTGAAGTCTGAATTGGTGCGGGAAGGTTCGCCTTTGCCCCTGCCACTGAGCCGACGGCGCGCCTCCAGGTAGTGGTCTTTGTTCTTGACCTTCCAGAGCAGGACCTCCATCATGCGGTCGTCCAGCAGCTTCGTGCCGGTCTGCTCCCACTGATCGATCGGCCTGCGACTTTGGAAGGCTTGCATCGGAGGGCTCTGCTCCAGCAGCACTTCCTGGCTGAGCAGCCAGGACCCCGCATCGAGCGAGGTCTGGTCGCAAGCTGCAATGGCCACCGCCGCCCGAGCCCGGGCCTCCTTGTAGGCGCCTGTCCTCAGGCAGTCCCAAATCCCTGCTATGCACCAAGCGTAGCGGATTGTCGTTGGGAAGTTTCCCACACGGCTGCGATGCTCCAGCCAGGCACGGGCTGACGTCTGCTGCTGGCTGGACCCAGGGGCGGATCTCATGGTGTTGAAATCTTTTTCGAGAAGGGCTTCTATTGCACTGTAGATGGCCTTGGGGTTCTCGGTCAGAGCAGACCGGAGCTTTTGGTAGGCAGCTGCCTTCCCTCTGCTGGAGCCGGTCTGGCTCGCATCCCCTCCGTCGACATCCACATTCTCCAGCAAGCTGTCTAAGTCGCCAGCCTTCTTTGTGTCTCTGCTCAAGTTCCCTACAATCTTGGTCAACTTCAACAGTGCCTTCTCTACAGGTGTAGCGGCCACTTCTTCGATATCGGAGTCTTCGGCCGCTTCGTCTTCTTGCGAAGGAGCCTCTTCCTCCTCCTCCGTCTCGCTCAAAACTGTGGCCTTTTTCTTCTCCTTGCGACCTGTAGCCTTCGGAGCATCGCCCATCTTCGTAGGCTTCCTCAGGGTGGCTGCCAACTTTCTCAGCTGGCTGTCGGGGATACCGGCTTCGCGAGCCGAGCGAACCACAGTAGGATCCAGGCCGGGGATGAGCACCTCGCCCGGCCGCTTTGGCGAGGCCGCCACTTTCGGACGAGCCCCTACTGGAGCAGCAGGCGCGGGTGTCTGGGGCGCGGACTTCACCAGCTGGCTCATAGCTTCCTTCATCTCGAACATGGCCACCTCCATCCTGCCCATTCTCTCTTCCCATTCGTCGTCTCCTCTGCGGCCTCCGCTTGATCTTTCCTCTGCGTCGGCTTCTTCGTCGAAGCCCGGATCGGGGCCCTCGTGATGGGCACTGAGGGCTGACTGGAAAGCAAAATGCTCGTCTGAGACCTCTGCTAGACCCGGTCCATAAGGCATCGTTTCTCCTCCTTCGAGCTCGGCGCAGTAGATGTCGGCCGCTGCATCCATGTGTCGGCCAAGAACCAGCCGCCTGCTCCAAGCCCGATCCATTAAGGCTACCCACAACTTCATGGGGGCTTTCGCAAGAACCACTTCGGGCTGCACTACGTAAGCCACCAATACTTCGATCAAAACTGCTTTGCTGAGAGCTCCGCGGGGCAAAATGCGCTCCGCGACTGTACGATTCCATGCTTCAAAGGGCACGGCCACCAAGAGCTTGTTTTGGTGGACCGCAATGGGAACAAGGTTCACTTCGAGGGCTTCAGCCTCCACTTCAAATGGCAAGTGACAAAGTTGATAGCTAGTCCTGGCAACGCCCTCCTCTGTCACCAAAAGAGCGTCCAAGACATCCTGAGGTGCTATGGGTTGCTCAGGCATCACGGAGCTCGTCCGGGATCCTGAAGCCTGCAGCCTCAAACACTAACTTTGCTTCCCACTTTGTGGCAACGCCCACAAAAATTGAATCACCAGCTGATGGTCCTCTTTTGCACAAATGCTTGACAGAGGCAAAGTTGTCAACAAACAAAGGGTCGGGAAGGCGACGGCCGTTGAAATCAGCACACACAATGTAATAGCGGTTTTGCAATTTCAGCCTCTCGCGCCCTGAGGTGCCTCGAAATTCCCCACTCAAACAGCGGAGGAGAAAATGGCCAATCTGCTGAGCCAACGCGATACGACCTGCAGTGTCCGCAGTGGCAACCTCTCCTGACACTCTCGCACTGTCTCGCTCACTGGGGGCAGAAGAAATGAGTTCAAACTCACCCTCGCCTCAAGCCTGCTAGCTCTCTCCTGCAACTGCCTAATCTCTCGCTGCAACTCGGCCAACTCAGTCCGCAAGCCAGGCAGGGAGTTTGAGCTCCTCCAATGACTCGATGGAAAGGTCCCCTGACAGGTCCGGGAGCACTCAGTCGTGCTCTGACAACCCTGGCCCAAGACAGCCTGACAATCACCAAGAAATCAAAAACCGGTCCAGCTAGCAAGCCAATCAAGATTCCCAGCAATAAGGATGTTGGGTCAATGGTCCAAGGCTCAGGCAATGCAGGAAGAAGTGGACAAATGTCAGGTGGAGGTATCCAGGAAGTAGGCGTGTGTTGTTTCAGAAGATCCCCAGCTAGTGCAACAAGTAAGCTGCTCACACTCCCAGCGCCAGCAGCGGTGACTAAGGGGCGCATTGAGCAGAAAAACTCACTGGACAGCTTCAACATTGAACATGCTACGTCAGATATGCATATGCAGTATCTAGGATCTTTGGTTCACCCATGGATATGTCATTCTCTGACTCCAAGAAGAATCATTTACAGTAGTGCCTGGTTGAATGTGCCGTAGAGAGTACCGAGTCTCAGAGGGTCCGCCACTCCCTGCCCAATTCGAAGCATTGGAAATGCATTGGGCAGTGGCCTGTTTCTTTCAAAGCACGGGGAAGGCCTTGCCCAATGTGTGTACCACATCCTCTTTTATTCGCGGCCAAAGAATTGTTCCTTCGTGTCCAGCGTATGAACACAAATTGAACGGTCCCAAAAGTCATAAAGACTCCAAGTTTTTAGTGTGCCGCTTCCAAGATAGCGTCAAATCCCACCATCACTCCAATCCACCCCATGCATAATAGGAAAATTCACAGCACACGTAAGTCTCAAACATAAACTCTGTTTACGTGCTTCCATTTCGGAAGCGTGTGAGAATGGTGCATTTTACGGGGCCGCAAATGGTTGCCCGTGCAACAGCATGTACATACACAGACAGGCATGCAACATGTGCCAGCGTCCACATACACGCCTTCCTACACACTCATCCAATCTCGAAATTACTTCTGCATGTATGGACATAGTTGGTCATGGTTTGCATTTGCATGACATGTGTGTGTGTGTAAGTGGTGCAGGCTTGGCAGCGTCAGTCTTGTGTCTTGCAAACCGTTGCCCAAGGCCCTTTGAATCTTGCCCTGGTGTGGAGGTTCTGCAAGTTAGTTGAGGCTGGTAGATTCAATTTCTGTTTTGTTTTAACCCAAGGTCCTGAAGTGTTGCTCTAACATTTGGACCTCGGGAGTTTTCACTGTCATCAAGCAATCATGGCGTCTCAGGGAGGATGGAGTGACCAGGGAGGACATCAGAGACCGGTCGCAAGATAGGGAACGAACCTGCTCTTGACATTGACTCAGGCGAAGTTATCGGATGCTTCGCTTGCAGATAAACGCCTCATCTACTACTGTTCTCATGATCCAAAGAAGGTGCGGTAGCACTGTAGCACCTCGTGTGTCAGCAGTGAGATGCAGTGAAATGCAGTGAATCTAGCAGCATTGGACCAAGTTGAGTTTGAAGGGCTTGTGCCACACTGTT